TGTTGTCGTTTGGACTGTATTCAAAATTATAATCTGGCACAATCGAAATATAAAGGGATAAGGCAAATAGGCAGCAGTGTATGTGTATTAGAGCTGTAATTGAAAGTAATTATTAAACTAATTATTAATTAAAGTTCCATAAATAATCAATAAAGAAAGTTCTATATAGTCGAATATTAAGAAGAAATTTTGAAACAGAAATTCTTAAGGCTAAAAATGAATAATTCCAAAAAAAATGTATTTTGTGTTTCGGTCTCAGTAATCATTTTATTTTATAATTCAACAGCTATCCATGAACAAATTTGAGATCGAAACTGTAGAGCGATGGTGTCGCAGCTGTTGCTCCTATTTTTCTTAGTTCGAATATTTTTGGCTTGGGTTGTGCTGGAGGTCCGTGTGGGCGTGTGTGTTGGGGAGCATGAGTCATGCTGGGCGTTAAACTCCCCATCAATATAGAAATTGTCCGATTTGAATAGATTACGAATATATCGCCAGGATTCCGGTGCTTGTCGGCAAAGATCTTGCTAAAGAGGCTGGCACCGAAATTATCGGCATTGGCTTTTGTCTCAATTGGTGTTGTTGTGCTGCTGGTTGGGAAAACTGAGCTTTGTCTGCTATTGTTGGTTGTTGTTGTTGTTGTGGGAGCATCGGACAACAGATAACTTTTTCTTCCGCTCAACCTCCGACTCATTACCGTCATTAACATTTCTCTACTAAAATAATAATAATAATAAAATTTCTCTCTAATAATAATAATAATTTTGATCGACGTTCATGTTAATTGATTAGTGATTCACTAAATACTTTTTAGTACAAAAGCTGTCGGTAATACAATTCTTAAAGAGTTGAACAAAAACTAGTTACTGAACTTAAACAAAATTTGCTCGTTTTTTAGTTGAAATTGGACGACTACTCTTAGACGACTTTAAATTGACAAGTAAACAAAAAGGGCTTTTCGGGACATTTGCCTTTGTCATAATTAACAGTTGTGTATTTTAACATAAAGCCTGGCTCTCCTTGATTCCATTTCAGATGCCATTTCTGATTCCATTTCTGATGCAACTTTCTTTTATTGAAAATGTTTTGGACGCCTTCTCTCATGTAACACATCCACAGCCCAAAATTCCAATACTCTTAGCAATGTCAGCCATAAATTTAACTAATACAGAACACAAACTCCATTGCTGGCCAGGCATGCGGCCAACCCCTGCTGCGATCCGATAGGAATGTGCCACAATAATCAAGCCAAGTCATGCCAAGTTACAGTTACGGTTACAGTTAAGGTAACGCATGGCAATGGCCATAAAATGACACTGAGTGTCAGTTTCAATTAAACATGTTGACAGCTGTACAGGACTAAGCATAGGCACAGGCTGGCAAGGACACTACACACACACTCACACCCATACTAGCATACATGCACATAAACACACAACAATGGGCGGCTTACGTATCGCACTCGAGAGGGTGGTCTGGGATGGGGGAGGTTGTATGTTTTTGGTTTGATTATTGCTTGAGCCATTTGTGGGGATGACTGCTCAAGCAATTTCGATTTTAATACAAGAAATTCCTGGCCATGTGCAAGAAATGCTGTTCCCCATAAGCAGCAACAATAAAGTATCGAGTGTGTGGTTGGGTTGATGGGCAAAAAGAGGAAAGGGAGGGGGCACTGAAGAGAAATGACAACTTTATCAGCCAGCAGTTGACCGTTTCCATACTCCCAGACGTCTTACAAGCTTTATTTTGCATTTTACATCATGTTTGAGACTATTCTTCTTGCTTTATATATTTGCTTCTTGCTCGTTGTCTCTGATTTTTGACAGCCAATTCTAAGAAAATAACAAAAACTCCAGCAGCTTAAGTAATTTTATGTGTTTTTCTTTCAAGTATTTGTTTAAATCAATGCATTTTATGCTAAGCACTACAATGGACACCAAGCAGCTTTGCATTCTAATGCCCGAGTTGATTTTCGTGAGCTTTTTGCAAATTTCATGCCTCGACTCGAGGCACGTCTGCATTTGCGTGAATGGTTGTTATTATTATTGTTGTTGTTGTTGTTGTTGTCGTGGCGTCTCGTTGTATTGACAACTTGTCAAACATTCTAATATCCTGTTTTTGGTCAAATGCCGAGCATTGTAGCATTGACAGCTTGTCTGGTGCTGTGGGGAATTGCGTTTAATTAAGCTTTGTGTAATATTTTGTATGCACTTGTTTCCATGCATATTCATTTCCTTTAATTTTGATTGAGTTTTGCATAAATTGCGAAATGTTGGGCTAAGAACATAAATCAAATGCTGTTAATTAAAAGAAATCTTGAAAAAATGCTGTCCTAATCAAGTGGATTTCTTTATTATTATTTAATTATATTTATGTCAAGAAACATTGACTGTCGACATAGGAAAACAATAAATAAAAAAATTATTAAAAAAAATCCTTATAAGCTAGGAAAGCCTAAGAAGCAAAAGCGTACTCAAAAGAGAACTAAGGACATCAAGAAAGGACATCGCAAAGGTATTTTTATAGCCTGTACCCAAAGGGTGAAAGGCTGTTCTAGTTTTTTGCGAATGTATGTAGCAGAAGGATGCGTGGGTCTGCCACAAAGTATATATATTCTTTATCAGGATGACAAGACAAGTCGATATAACTATGTCCGTCTGTCTGTCTGTCCGTCCGACCGTCCGTCCGTCTGTCTGTATGACCGCAACGATCTCAGCAAGTATAATAGCTAGGATAACCAACTTGCCTAAGCCCTAGGCAGATCGAGTTTGTGTTTTTTTTTCTGATACACCCCCCACTCCCTCGCAATTCGTGTTTTTCATAACTCCGGCAATTCTTGGAATTTTGAACTCAAATTTTGTTCAATTGAACAAAATTTCGCGCTTGCTAGACTGTAGCGTTCTCTATTGTTTAAAATTTAAATTCGTGCATATTCTTACATTTTATATAATTTGAATGATACATTTGAGGTAACTCACACTAATTTAAAAATTATTTTTTATATTCATATCATATATCATATCTTAAACTACAAATTTCACATGGAAATGCTTAAAATGTGTCCCCCTTTTCCCTTTGACTTTTCAAGCCTTAGAAAAATTCAAATGCTCTCTTGGAGTGCCTTCTGCTTGTATGCTGCTAGGCTTAATCTTAACCACACTACCACATGCATAGCCTCTTCTTAACCAAGCAGTAAACCTGCCCAGCAACTAACTGTAATTATTATAGCACCCAAAGTACTCCCCCCTTTCGCAATGAGTAGACTTGTCTTTCCATTTAATAGCAGCTCAGAAAATGTTGCTGCATTTTTTTGTGTTTATTTTATTTTTTCGCTTCTATGTGTTGTAGCCAGATTTTGGGGGAGTCCAAGCAACTTGGCCTTTTGTTTTCGTCACGGACGCGAGCAAAACGCAATCACAGCAAGTCCGCCCGCCTCAAATGGCAAAGAAAAACAAATACTCGTCTACATACTTGTATATACTATACATATCTTCTTCACATTTTTTGCGCATTTTTCTTGCTCTCGGCCCTTTGTATTATTGGTGAATTAGAATTTCTCATTAAAATAAGTGTTGGCCTGGCCCCCCGTTTGACTTGAGACTTGAGCCTTGAGACTTGAGGTGCTCGTCCATAGTAATGGACGAATGGCATGGACTTTTGTTTATGCTCGGTCAGTCATTAGTTGCGCGTCAAATCGGACTGACAGTTCCTATTTGTACGAGCATTTGTATTTATGTTTGTATATCTCTGTCTTTATTTGCTAGACTTTTGCCCATTTGCCATCTTTGCCTCCTCTTACCCAATATCTAACGCATTGTTGCCGACGACAGCTTGCCACTTGAGTTCTCTGAGGAAGTCTTTGCCCAACTCTCGATTCATTTGGTTGACATTTTTAATTTTTAATGGGCTTTGTATACAATTCGAGTCTTGCTTTTGGGGCCGTAATTAAAAATGCAACTCTTTGGAAACAATTTTTGGCTTTTAAGCATTCGTATCTTTCATCTTTTGTGTTGTGGCTTTTAGTGCTGCATTTTTGCGGCTTAATAGGCTTAAAAACTGAAACACTTAGTGTCAGAGACATTTCCCCTTTCATTTTTGAAGCATTTAGGGCTGCTCTAAGGTAAGGTGGAAGCGTTGATGCTATGCTCTTAGAACTGGTCTTGCCTCGTTAGCAAACCCTTTCCATACTAATCCAATTGGAGGGTTATTTAGATAACGTTTTTTTTTGGCCATCAACCCTTGGATGCAGCCCAACCACCAGAAATGAAGTAAAGCAACATTGTTTCTACTTCAACAAACTTTATCATACTCGTATGTTTGGCTTTTCTCTCTTAACCCATGACCACATGCACATATTGCTGTTGTTTTTGTTTTTGTTTCTGTTGTTGTTTACCTTCTGCCTGATATGACCATAGAGTTACATTGTAGCCCGCTGTTCGCTCGTGAAGTGTAGGCAAAACTTTGGATTTAACTTTTGCTTGCTACATTTAAGTGGCGGCATCGCCATGTAGAATGTTTACGAAACAAAACTTTATGCAAACCATATCAAATGTGGCAGCAACTGTGCACTTTACATGTGCAATGAGAACTTTTCCTCTTGTTTTGTGGTCTGCAACTTTTCCATGTGCCGCCGACACCTTCGCTTCAATGCCTGCCCCTTTCAACTAATTATATAGATAAAATGCAATTTTCCCATCCTATTTTGTGTTTTAATTAATTCTTTTAATGCCCTTCCAAAGGACAGAGTACGATGCCTTATTTCTGGTATTTGTAATACACATATTACAGATGATCTTCTGGACATTCCACAATAAAAACTGCGCAAATTCGTGGGAGCCGATACTCAAGTTTTGCTCAGAATATCACATTTCAGAAATACATGGAAAGAGTGCTATATATTTTCTTTTCTCTATGGTGTAATACTTTTAATTGAAGTAAATACTGTTGCATTATCGATTGGCTATTACTATAAAATTTGTGTTGTGCTGCTTTATATATTGTAGTGAATACCAGCCTCAAAATCAGAGTCACACAACTTCGACCCTCCCTAAATGTTGGAATCATTTAACCATGGACAAGAGTGTGGTTTATATCGATAAAAACAAGAAAAAATGTAAGTAAAAAAAAAATAATTATTATTTTATATGAAATAATTTGTTTTATACCATTTCTAATTTTTAGTGGACGGTTCAAAGTGGAGTGATTATGCGACCAAACTTTTTATATACTTGTACCGTTTCAGGAAGGATAAATTTCGCAACCCGTTTTTTTTAAACAGATTGTTATATGAGGAAATTCTTCAAGAAATGGAAGAAGGATACGGTATATGTGGATTAAACATTCAAAAGCTCGACAGAAAGATTCGTAATCTCAAGAGAACATATGTCATTATCAGAAATAGAAATATGGGCTCGAACCCAGATTCCATTTCATGGGAATATTACAAGCAAATGCATGACATTTTATATGATGACCCTTCTATTGTCGACACTCCTCCACACTCTAATTTTAAAATATATTTTTCGAGTCGCACCCAGTCGAAGAATCGAGTCAGACGAGTGGGCAACACAGAGCAAGAAAGAGTTAAAGATCAACAGCCAAATTGGTCATTTACTTTTGAAAACGATGCATCATTATTGAGCTCGACATTTTCCAAAACAAGCAAATGTCGAACCAGAAATACTAGAAAATCTGAAAGGCAACGGCCGATTGAAATAAGGACAATAGAGCGGGCAAATGACCTTCAAATTGAAAGAAATAACTTATTAAAGCAGTTTCTCGTCAATTTAAAAAATGCATAACATAAAATAGATATATAACATCAATTTCATTTATAAATTGTTCATTCATACATGAGGATGTAATCTTCTTATTCTTCAAGTAGTAAGCTTAAAAATTATGTAATTGTTTGTTAACCTCATCTAATTTCTTAGTGTACAAAAGCTGTTATAAATTATACCATAGTTTTTATACTCTGTATAATAGTCGATCTAGCCCTGTCTGTCTGTCTGTCCGTATGAACACCTGGATCTCAGAGACTATAAGAGATAGAGACACCAAATTTTCTACAAAGATGCCTTATGTGTGTACGCTATAGAGTTTGTTTTATTTTTTCTTCCCTCCAATGGGGGTTTTCCCGATTTTCCAATTGCAAGCAAAGCAATTGCTTTGTATATGTGCACTTATACACCCTTTACGTGAGTTCGAATACCAAGAGGGTGTCCAATTTTTTTTTTAATTTTCTTATTTTTTATTTTTTTATTTTCTATAATTATTGTAAACATATGTACAGAGTATTTCAAAGTCGGGACACCCGACTTTAGCTTTTTTACTTGTTTAAGTATACACTTATGCTTAAGCTTATATTAAATAAAAATGTTTAAAATTGCTAAATAAATGTCATCCAAAATTACTTTTTCTTGTATTTGTGGTTTAATAATAATTAAGCAAAAAAAATCTACGCGACTTACTAATTTATTCGGAGAAAATGTATGAAGAGTAATTTATTATTAACCTGATCGTTAATTGGTTTATTCAAAAGCTTCCCAAAGAATATTTGCTTTCCCCACAACTTCCAAAATTAATTTAAATTTTTGTTTATCAAGTCATATGATTTCGTTTACGTATCTGTATGTTGCTCTAAATAATTAATAATTTTAATATTGAGGCAGAGATAATGGCATACCCGAGTGGAAGATCTAGTAATACTCATAGTTAAAAGCAAGTGATTATGTATTGTATAATTTTTGGAATACTATTTATGTATTGCAACTTTTAAATAATCGCAAACTTAAAAAAAAATTTATATATATATTTATTTGCACACTTCCTCAACAATATAAGACATATGCGTACTGTTTATCCTGAACAAAGTTTGGTAATGTAGTTTGAGAGTGTATTTTGCATTCAACGAACTAACAACGACATTTTTCTGATTTTTTGTTGGGCGAAGACGTGCTCGGCATTCTAGTTACCTCGTTCTGACATCTTAGTTGCGACCAATGGTCTCTGGAGAATGTCGCCAAGTTTGCTGCTGTTGTTGCCCCTTTATAGCACTGTGTGTTCTCTAACATTGCATTTAATATAGATATTGTTTTTTTTTCTTTGTTTTTTCATTTTCTGCGCACTGTAATTAGCTCCGGGAACGAAAGGATGTTGAACAAAACGTTGACATTGGCCAAGACAGCTGCTTGTTGTCTGCCGTGCAAAAATTGTTGTGTGCATAAAAAGTTTAACTTGACATTTTTAGCAACAGTTTGTAATTTTGGCGTTTCGCTTCCTCCTCTATGATTTGAAATTGTTTTGCTGTGCGGCATAACCCTTGCATGGCATTTCTTTTTACTAATTTTTTTCTTTGGCATTTTACTTGCAGACTCCTTAATTACATTTCCCAAACAAAGCTGCTGTTTTGCATTTTAATCGTTGTTGGCATTTAAGGGAAATTGTACGCGAAAAGGTAAGTCAAGTTATTTGTTCATCATTTTACAACTTTAAGATTTTTTTGCTGAATGTTTTTTTAGCACACAATTTATTGCTGACAAATACTTAAACTGTAGCCTTAAGTAATAAAAAAATCGTAAAATATAATAGGAAGTTGTGAAAAAGTCACCTAGAAAATATAATTAAATAAGGCCAACCAATTTAACCAAGCCATTAGCAAAGTGTTTGATGGAATTGCACACTGGGCAGAAAATTATAATTATTACCAATTCAACATTTATGTTTTTCCTTTCTGAATGCATAATTGAAGATCGCTTCGAATGTATATAAATAACTTCAATATTGAACACTTGTAAACACATTTTAGAATATAACTTGAAAATCAACAAAAAGCCAACCCGAAAATGAATGTTTTTTTATAGAAACTTTAGATATAGACATATGGATTTTTATGCAAAAAAAAAAGTCTGAGTTTCCTCTAAGGTTTAAAGCAGTGTATATACAAAAATGTAAATTAAAAATTGTTCCTTAAAAACAAGACACTAAGAAATGTTTATTTCTTTGGAACAATTTTACGACTTTTTCATATTTTATGGCATTATGGCCACCACTTTTGTTGCATAAACCTCACCCGTAACCCTTTGGCACCCGCAACCACCCGCTTTGACTGGCGACCATCATGGTTTATGTCCATAACTTAATTATCCATATGAATCCTTCAGTTTTTATTGCCGTTAACCCTGCTGCTGCTGGCGGTACGGGGTAAAGGTTTTAATTATGATGAAAGTATATCTCTGTGCAGATGTCATATTTTTATTTATCTAAATTTTCAGATCTTCACGGCACATTAAAATGATATAAAATCATCTTATTTAGCCGGGCGGTAGGCAAATATTTTATTGTTGTTGCTCATTATGCAACAACAAACAAATTTTATGTCCAGCTGCTGCTGCTGCTGCGTACATCATCATAAGTTTATTGTTTGGATACTTTGGGGCCGCCTAATCCTTTAACTGCACAAGCCCCACCCACAGTCCATGCTCATCCACTACGCTCGTTAATTTTATATGCCCCGGGGTAGACTCAGCTGTTAAATAAATTAAGTTTACAATTTTCATTCATTGAGACATCTTATTTAGTGGGTAGTGGGTAGTGGGAGGGTATGCAGAAACTGTCCACCGTTGAAGCCAATAAGTTGTCTCCTGCAACTGCAAACACACATACAAACGATATATGAGTGTAGACAGAGTGCCTTGCGGTTTTCTGCCCACTCTGCAGCCTCTATGCACTCCATGGTTAACCATTGATGGCTGGCATCAATGCACATTTGTCATTGTTTTTGGCGCCCAGAGTTATGCTTGAGAGCATTTACAGCGATAACAACAATGACAACAATAAACAAACTGCAACTGCAACAACCTGCGCAGCTTTGTGGTCGCAACAGCCACCATTACTCACAAGAGAAAGTGTGTATGTGTGTGTGTGAGGAGGATGTTGGGACTGGGCTTTACTTTGAAGTAAGCAACGCACACACATTGTTCATTGCCTTAAGGCTAAGCCTCATTTGTGGTTATAATGTGTTGTGCGACAGCTGAAAGTCGATTATGTAAATATTGTGGATGGCCAGACTAATAGCTGTGTAAGTTTTGGTTTAAGCTCAAATGCTAATTAAGGCACAGATAGGGCGTTCAAGTTGCAAGCTTAAAGTTAAACTTATACTTAAGGACATTAAAAAAGTTTAGTGCCGCAAACTTAAACACATATGGCAAACTTTTTCCAAACACACACATCACACACACACTTAGACAATGAAATAAAAGTCCGCCATAAAAAATCTGTAAAATCACATAAAAATCATAGCATACATTTAGGCATCGAGTTACAAAGGGGTTCAGCAGCATGAAGAAGAATAAAAGGAGTAGCTGCCTTTACACATTAAAAACGCATAAAATCGGCAATTGAATTGGCAAAAAGGCAACAACACGCACGTCTAGAAGCATAAAGTGGCCATGAAAATAAAAGCAGACAAGCAAATCGAACGATAGTCGGTAGCGGGGCTCTTCCAGGGGAAGAGAACAAAACCGATTGAAGCAATCAATTAAAATTGATGGGAGAAATTGAATCACGTGTTACAATTTTTGAAGAGGAATCGCTGGAATCGAGTTACGCCATTCCCCATTTGGATGAGAGTGTGCGTGACGGTCGGTCTTCAAGAAATGCCATAAAAGTTCAGCTACGAATAGATGTTATTATATTTTTAGTAGATTGTTTGTAATTTCGTCACTTGCGGATGTTCTCAGTGTGCGTCTTTATTTGTATTTTTCTCAATTCTTTAGTACATTCGAAAAACAGTCAACAAATACTTTTTATTTTCGAAAAAGTTGCTTTACAAAATAATGTAGTTATTTATTTATTCCTTCTCCGTCGTTTGTTATTTAGTCTATCAATTGGTTTAGGAATGTTGTTTTCATACTTTGGTTGTCTAACAACTGTAAAATCTGCTGCCAACGTATTAGAAAATCAATCGAACATTTACTTAAAAAATGCTCAACTCTACAAGATATCACAAAACTTATCTTTAACACACAATTCTGTACTTATAGAGAGCTCAAAGCTATAGAAGCTATTGCTATTGAAGTAAAAAAATAATTAATAATTCTTTTTCATTAAATATCTATAACAATTACACAATGTATATTGTTGTATATTATATATATGTAGGTCTAAGTTAGTGTTTCCCAAAAGGTGTTGTTGAAGTTCTTTGCTGTTTAATTCGAAAGATCAACAAAAAAATTGATAAAATTAAAAAAAAATTATGAATTTATTGGTTCTGCCGCTTCTGAGGTTTTGGGATCGCAAAGTATGTTCGGCCTTGTCAACTGGTTATTGAACATTTTAATATTTTGAATTAAAATTGAGAAAATGCATATAAATCATTGAATTGAATAAACTCTATGTCCAATGCAGTCTTTTCAAAACAGAGCAACATTCCATCCAGAGCTGAGTTCTCTTTATACCTCATACCCATCCTTATCAGTTGGCGCCGTTTTTATGTGCTTGTTAACAAAACCGTGAAATTCAATGCCGTAACAGGCAACGAAAAAATTTACGACACTGCAAATTAAACTTGATTTTTATTTAAATAAATTGCATTTTATGCTTCTGCTGCAAGGATATGCGTAGTCGACGTCGTCGTCATGTCGTAATAAGCGAGCAACGGCTATAATTTGCACGGCAATATGACGAGGATATGTGAAAGGCAACCGACATCCGACAACTGACAGACAGACAGACAGATAGACGGACGCACGGACAGACTGGCGGGCGGCTTCAATGGCGGCGGCTGCTTTATGTATTTTATTTTATTTATTACAAGCCGAGTCGGAAATGTTTGTTGATTTTCCGCAGCGCGCGCATACAATAAAAATCGGGGCAAAAAGCGAATTATTTTCTAGACGAACGCGCGCAGTCCAATAAAAAAGAGCGATATGAAAAAAAAAACACTCACAAATTGTTAAGATATTTTTTATGTGAAACGACGGCGTCCATTATATAAAGGAAAATGTAATGCGTACTATGTTATTCAAATTAAAAAGAAATCAAGTGCAATGAATCGATTGAGCCCCCAGAAGCTTTAATGCTGAAGATAAGCAATGTTTTGTATAAAAATGAGATTTAATACCATTTTTGTTCTGATTAACTAAGGAATTGTTATTCAAGGTGTATACAAAATTTGCTTAGTGAATCAAAAGTTTTTAACATTTCTCAAATTTCTATTGAAGTCCCTTTGGAAACTAAATTTGTAGCAGTAAAAGAATTCCTTTGAATCAATATTTCTAAAAAGTAATACTTTTAAAAAGTAATACATACAGCCTTAATTATTATGCCCCGCCATAGGGGGATTTAAAATTAATCGAGTGACCTTATAAGTTAATTACTATTTCCAACACTATATCTTGCCAGACCAGAAACATAAATAACCAGGCGAACAATTCCGGGCTGCAGTTGAACGCTTATTAAATTAATTTAAATCCTGGTCTTTAGCGGTTTTTAATTTGAAATAAAGATCAATATTTGACGCAATATTCTCATGAAATCCATTATACGAACATTTGGTATGAATAGAGCCTCACACAGCCTTCACTCTCAAAAAGACCGGCTTCATGGTGTGTAGGGTGACGACAAATGTCAATCGCGCCTCTCGATCCGTTTCGCTGGCGGCTTCAAATTCGAAGTTTCTCAGGCAGTGGGCCAGGACAAGCTTCATCATGACCATGGCATAACGCTGGCCTATGCAACTGCGACCGCCAGTCATGAAGGGTATAAAGGTTGATGGCTCTATTTTGGGCTCTGCATCGGGGGACCAGCGTTCGGGGTTAAAAGTAAGCGGATCCGGGAAGAACTCTTTGCATCGGCCCATGTACAGAGGCGAAATGATGACATTGCTCCCCGCTGGTATGCAAAAATCATCTACGGATTAAACAAACATAATTTTTACCAAAGTCAATTGCAAGCGCATTTATAATAACTGTCTTACTTATTACGCAATCGGCTCTGGCATGTCGCGCCACTATTGGTGCTGAGGGATAGAGCCTAAGTATCTCCTTTAGGCACCATTCCAAATAAATTAACTGACGCATTTGTTCTATGGTTATGTCGGCATTAGAGTCCCTGCCACAAACCTGCCATATCTCCTCACGACATCGCTTCTGATAGTCCATATGCAAAGTCATTCTGTATAGGAAAAACTTAATGGTGGCGGCGGTGAGGTCGAAACCGCCATATATAATGGTGTCCACTTCTTCGCGTATATCCGTGACCTTGAGCGGCTTACCATCCGGGGCTGTGGCATGCAGCAGGGTATCCAGATAACTCAGACTGCGTCGTTGTTCCGTCTCTGGATTGACAGTATCGTTGGTATTCCGATTGGCCTGATCAGACTTCAGCTCCTCGCAGCGTTTCTTGATAATGTCATCCGTGAAATTGTGTAGAGCCTTCACCACACGCCGCTCCCGAGCAGCCAATGCTGTGAACTTATAAATGATCTCGTTTCGATAGAACAAGTTCTTGATGCGACAATCGACAATGTGCAGGGCTCTGCAATAAAACTGTAGTAATAAGAAGGAGAAGGGCAGAAACAAATTCTCACTCACTCTCTCACATAATCAAAGTATTCACAATTATTGCTCTTCTGCGCCCCAACTGAAACGCCCAGAGCCGTTTCGCAAATAGTATCCAGGGTGTAGGTGGCGATGAGTCGAAAGAAATCCACTGGTTCGCCTGAAGCAGCCACCTCTCCCAACTTAAACACCAGAATCCGTGCCTGTCGTTCAAAGATCTTGGCAAACTCCCTTATACTGTTCGAGTTAAATGACGGCGACAGCATTTTTCGACGATGCGTCCACTTTTCTACACGGCTCGTGAAAATACCCTCGCAGAGCCAGTTCTCAAAGAAACGATAGTCCGCAGTCTTTTCGAGTAGTTGCTGAGCGCTGCACAGGGCTTGAATGTCCTTCGGGTTGCAGTCGAAGAAGTAGAGTCGATGGCCCAGCCACAACTTAACGCGATGATCCTTAATGAAGGTGAAGATGAGCTTCGAGCCATGCTTGAAGAATTCCGATCCGGCCAGGGGGATCATTAAATGCAGATGACCCATTATCGGCCAGGATCGTGGCTGGGGCCAGTTCCTGGTTAGTCGATCAATCCTCGTGTGATGCTCATGCACGTAAATCAGCCAGGAAACCAGAACGCCTCCTAACAATACCAGCAGCACCGAACCCAACATGACCGCTATTGATGAGACTATTGATCGATCTGTTCTACTGATTGATGTGTGCGCGACTGATTTGAGGCGATGGCGCATCAAAGGTTTTAAGTGCCCGGCCGTTCATGCTCAATCCGACAGTGGCAGAGGTCTGATTGTGTTCCTAATATCGCAGATAAAAAATTGTGAAATTGTGCAATGAACAGGTCACAGTCGTTATTAACATTTGGGTGCATTCAAATATTCAAATGGCTTTATAATTTTTATAATAATACTTCTAGCTGCGAATCTGAAGTAGCGCTTTGTGTTTTTTTTTTAGTTTATTTTTATTGTCACTCAGACAGATTGACGAATGACGAGCTGAGAGCCGATGTGATTTGTTGTTTACGCCGAAGCCTAATGAGTGAGAAGTAAACAAAAAAGCTATGACCGTACTTGTATACACATGTCTAGAACCAGTTCTTAGCAATCGTCGCAATAATTTTGACATTACTGGAAAAAAAGCGAAAAAATAAAATAAAAGTTCAATATTATAATTTTTGATGTGCGTGCTGGCGCGCCCAGTGCATACAAATCCATGCCAAGTGGGTGTAGCTCGACCACTTTGTTGGCCACTCACGGCGACAACGCGGGCGGGCAGCTTCAGCTGCTCGTATATAGCCGCTCGATCCCCGTTCAAGAATTTCAAGTGCTAGGGAATGTTCGGACACTGTACAATAGCTTACAAAGTAGTCAGTATACAAATTAAATTGATTTGAAAATGTTTTCTTTATTCAACTAGAACTACAAACTATCAGCTAGAGAGAAAAAATCAAAAAAATGTCTCATAACGACGCCGGATCGTAGAGGAAAAGGCATTGTCCATTCGTTATGCTTTGTTCCAATTAGCGGACAAATGTAGTGAGAGACAATTGAAATTGTTTAAAAAGTTTTATTTAAAAAGAAATAGTAATTAACTCAGAAAAATAAAGGAAACACATATATAATAAAATGCTATTAAAGAACATTAAAGAAATAAAAATGGGATTATTACAAATCATTCACCGGGTTCGACAAAATGTGGATAGTTAGAAAGTCTCCCCCCTCTGACTAAATCTTCTGCCATAAACGAATTTGACTTTCCAACGATTTATTGTTCGGTACCGTACTTGTTGCCATAACATTTTACGTTAAGTTCATTTTGGTTAAAATTATAGAAATGTTCCAAGGCCATCATATAATTAGTAGAGTGTTTCTTTTTTGTTAAATTTTTATACTAATTTTGAGAGCAAACATTCAAACAATTATACTTTTATTGATATACTTGTATAGATGGCACAATATTTTTCGCTTATGCATCTTCGAAGCTTGACATAAAGAGGAATTTGGAATAGAACAGCAAAGTGTGAATATCATGATTGTTTAATTAATAATTGAAAGCCAAACAAAGAGCAGTAATGTACCGCCGTATCAAAACAGGTTCAACAATTTTAAAGCTAAAGTATTAAGTATAAAAATGGTTTTACTTAATTATTAAATTGTTTGACTAATAGCTGTCATTCAAAACAGAGAATTACAAATTACTGCTGCATACTATTGGTCTAAATTAAGAAGGTTGTTGCCTTCCCATACAATATAATATTTGTTTAAATCCCTTAAAAAAAATCAACAATAATAAATAATTTATCAATGAACTGAAATGCAATACAATTTATCGAAACGAGATCTCCAATGGGGGCTCCTCTAGAAAACATAATGCTGAGTTTGTAGAAAATTTGATGTCCTCAAAGCAATACTTGGTGCTGAAGCGATATTTGCGTATGAAACGGGCTACAATTATCTTTAAGGAGAACATAGCATAGCGCCAGCCTAGAAAAATGTTGATTGGTGAAAAATATTGTATTTGATTACCCATTCATATGAGCAGTTACCTATACAGTTTCGTGGACCTTTGGAGAAGGGCATAAAGCTATATAAATGCCGCTTTCTGTCATGTTCGGGTAGAAAGTTATTTGGGTCGAACTTGCCTGCATCTGGACCCCAGATATCCTTACGTCTGTGTATGTGATAAATAGAAATAATGACTTGCAGACCACTCGGCAAGATGAGACCATTGCTCAGCTTAGCATCGTTAATCGCCTGTCGCCCCAATACAGGTATTGGCGGTATAAGGCGCAGCGTCTCATTCACAACCATATCAAGATATGGCAACTGCTCCAAATGGGCAAACTCTACGTCTTCGCTAGTGCGTTCAAAAACTTGGCATACTTCCTCGTAGAGGCGATCCTGCACCGATGGATGCATGGCTAGCATAATTAGAGTAGAGAGCACGGCTGTGGACGATGTTTCGTAGGACTGCAATCAAATATTTTTAGAATGTCTATATATAGTATGTGCTGTGGAAAAATAATTATTACAGCTACTATCAGGCCATTAGCATTGGAGACCACATTTTGCCAGCTGAGCTTCTGCTGCTTGTACAGTTCAAGAGCTTGTTTGATAAAAATCTCTGGAGGTTTGCGTATGGCCATGAATTCGTCATCGGAACTAGGCTTTGCTGCATTTCCCACATCTGATACTTGTATATTGGGCACAAATGTTTGATTCAATTGGCTGAGCATAATCTAAAAAGAGAAAGAGATTTGAAAGTAATTATTTATTGTTCATTTAGGAGCTTGATATACCTACATCTTCTGTAAATTGCCATAAAAATTTCTTAGCCACTTGAAATTTCTCATAGAAATATGACAAGCCGTATAAATTCAGAAATGTCAGCAATGCCAAAAAAGGTAATTTGTGTTGCATGCTATATAAGAAAACATTGGATGGTAGATCAAATAGAAAGAGATATTTCCAATCAGACTTACAACTCAAGCGAGCTTATATAAGTCTTGGCTTCCTGCTCCATTTTCGTATTATTTGGCTTTAGGCCCATAGTTGTTTCTAAGAGAAAATGTAACTGACTCTCAAGCATACTTTATTTATTTTAATTACCCACCCAAACTGCCGCTGATAATTGTGCTCTTCAGCATCTGGCTCAGGGTCTGGGGTCCCTTATCTACTAATTGTGCCAATTGCTCTTCTGCACTGCTCGCAATCCTATTAAAAATGGGGAAGAATGTGAGCAGCACCTTGTGCTGAAATGCCGCATTGATGGACTTGCGCTGTGCATGCCAGGCTTCAGCTACAAATACTTAGTTATAGATCGAGTGTAGATTCTAAAATCGATTAATTAATCACCTTCGCACACCAAGAGCCCGCCTTGAAATATATCCCTGCCCGGTTTACTGATACAGATAGCGCGGTTCAGCATATCGTTGCTAGTCATCACAGATTCCACAAATTCGGGCTCATCCGTGAGAATGACCAGATGCAGGCCCATCCAAAAAGCTATAGTATGACGTTTGCATTCGCTGAGAAAGTTCCCGAAGCTTGGCAGGATATCTGAGTTTCAGGTTAAAATTTCAATTGGGTTTGCGATAGTTGGCCAAAGTCAAACTTGCCATTAAAATTGATAAAACGCAGACCGGAGCCGACCACTGGCCAGCCGCACACAGTGGGGAAGGTCAGTGAGAATTTGTACCAGTGCCGACGCTGCCATAGCCAGTAAATCCAGATGCTAAGCACAGCGACGAGTAGCAATGCCGCTTTGAATGTTAACATGATTGCAGTCCGAGCTATTGTAGAACTGTAAACGGGAGCTCGGAAGTTGCACCAACTTTTATAGACAGCTCATTGACTGCGTTTAATGGCAGGTGATTGCAACCAGTTTGACTTGAGAGTGATTTAAAATTATGCGGCGTTGTAATGGAATACTAAGTGATCGGTTCACATCATTTGCAGTGATAGCTTTCATAAAATTTTAATTTTTAAAATACCTGTTAATAGTTAATAGGTGAAGTGATATCGTAATGTTAACTAAGCTTTGATAAACATGTTTTTCAAATTTTACTTAAAAACATAATTGAATAGAGACTTGCTGACAAAAATGCAAAAGTTATAAAAGAATTATTATTTTCGTGCTCTTTTTCCCTCATAACAGTAGCTGTTTTTTATTTCAACCGACTTGCATTTCATTCTGTTTACTCAAATTGCTTTTACTTTGTTTTATATTCTTTTAAAATTTAAAAAGTTTTAATTTAATTTAATTTAATTTTAAAAATACCTATTTATAGTTAATAGGTGGAGAGATATCGTAATGTTAGCTAAGCTTTGATTAAAATCTTTTTCAAATTTTACTTAAAAACATAATTGAACAGAGACTTTCTGACAAAAATGCAAAAATTTCCCTCATAACAGTAGCTGTTTTTTATTTCAACCGACTTGCATTTCATTCTGTTTACTCAAATTGCTTTTACTTTGTTTTATATTCTTTTTAAATTTTAAAAGTTCTCAAAGTTTTTACATCTAAATTTCTTCAACATTACTCATAAGACATTGGCTATTTTGCAATAAAACGGCGTCAGTGTTTTTAAGGTGATAACAAAGGCCAATTCCTTCTCTGCATCCCAGTCGTCTACTGGAGAGAATTGAAAGTTTTTGAGGCAATGAGCAATCACAAGCTTCATTTTGATCATGGCATAACGTTGTCCAATGCAGCTACGTACTCCTGTCAAAAAGGGTATATACGTTGAGGCCTGTATTTTGTGTTCAGCATCGGGGGACCATCGGCTCGGCATGAACTTGAGCGGTTCAGGGAAAAAGTCTGCGCACCGACCCATATACAGAGGTGAGAAAACCACCTCACTGTTGGCGGGTATATATAAATCGTCTAAAGGGATTGAAATTATAGAATGAGCATTATAAATGTGATAGCAGTTAGTCTTGTGATTATCGATCCACTCACTTAAATGAAAATTTGCGGTCGCACGACGTGAGACAACACATCCAGATGGATATAGACGCAGAGTTTCCTTTAAACACATATCCACATACTCTAATTGACGCACTTGCTCGATTGTAATAGGCTCTTTGGGATCTTTCCCACACACTTGCCATATCTCTTCGCGACAAAGCTCTTGGATTTCTGGATGCTTACACATTTCGAATATGAAGAACTTTAGCGTGGTAGCCGTAAGATCAAACCCAGCCACAATAATTGTATCCACTTCTTCCCTTATTTCTTTATCTAGCAAGGGTTGTCCTTCTTCCGTCTTAGCGTTAAGTAGTATGTCAATAAAGGTGAGGTTGCGTCGACCATCTATATCTTCAGTAGCGGCACTGCTGATAATTTGATTCGCCTGTTCCTTATTGAGTTGCTCTCGCCGCTCTTTAATGATGCGCTCCGAGAAACGGTGCAATTTTTTTATTATCTGACCCTCCCGTCGGCAAAGTGGGCTCAATTTATATATGAAGTGTAAGTGGTAAATGGGATTTCTCAGGCGTCGATCGTAAATCTGCAAAATACTGGTAGGCGACTAATTTTGGGCCCACAAATATTTTAGAACTCGCTACTTACGCTTTAACCGCTTCGAAGTACTCGGACTTTTGGACCGACTGTGCGCCTACGGACACACCCATTGCCGTCTCACAAATAGTGTCCAGAGTAAAGCTGCTGCTGTACTTAAAGAAGTCCACCGACTCCCCTGTCGAAGCCATTATCCGAAGTCTTGATAGCAACACTTGAGTCTGGCGATTGAATACATCCACAAACTGCTTCAGCATTCCATAACTAAATGCTGGCATAAGCATTTTACGTCCCTTGGTCCACTTCTCGACCCGACTCGTGAATATACCTTGGCATAGCCAGCTTTCATATATTTGGTATTGTTTCCCCTTTTCGAGTAAGTGGGGTGCACTGCACAGTGCCTGCAGATCCTTGGGATTGCAGTTCAGGAATACCAGACTCGCTCCTGCCCATATCTTGCACCGATGATCCTTTAGATATGGAAAGACATGCTTCTCAGCCTGCTTGAAAGGATTCAGGCCACCCAGTCGAAAGATTATATGCATATGTCCAAGTATAGGCCATGCTGGAGGCTGTGACCAACCCTTTGTGAGCCGATTGATCCTGATATGGAGCAAGTGTACATGCAACAGAAAGAATATTACTGCTACTGTGAATATCTCGAGCAGCAGAGAGGCCCACTCCATTATGTGTGGTCAGAAGGCAATTTGTCGCACGACTGTTTTGTAGCAATCCAACATTATAGGTTTTAAGGGTTTAGGCAGTATTTGACTTGTGTAGATTGTTAAAAACATTTTTGCTGTGGGTTGTTCATAAAAAGTAAAACATTAAGTATCGTTGACTTTAGCTGAAATGGTTTTCACGTGCGATTTGAGTTTTAACAGCTTCTAGACAGTTTTTATGTGGAGTTTATAAAAAGAGCTTAAAGAGCAGTACAATTTCAGATTTGATATTAGTGTGCTGGTTTATTTAAAACGTCCACACATGGGACACCTATACGTCAGATACCTAGAAGTCGAATATTTACACGTTAAATAATTATATCCGATGTCAACTCAAGTCAGCTTAGATTTCTACACCTTAGATGTCTATGTCTGATGTCAACACGTCTAAATTTTCACATCAGAAGCTGACAATTCAAGTTTGTACACGTGAAATGTCTATGTCAAATGTCTAAACGTCAGTTATTTACGCGTCAGATATGTATTTTTAAATGGCTATTTCAGATGTCTATACGTGAGCATTTACAGAACAGATGTTGAGAATTCAGACTTTTCACCAGTAATGTCTATGTCAAATGTCTAAACATCAGTTATCTACGCGTCAGATATGTATTTTTCAACATAGAAGTCCGATTTCTACACGTTAAATGGCTATTTCAGCTATTGTTTACATGTGAGGATTTACACATCAGATGCTGAGAATTTAGGCTTTTCACGAGTAATGTCTATGGGAAAGTTCGAAGCGTCAGTTATCTACGCGTCAGATATGTATTTTTCAACATACAAGTCCGATTTCTACACGTTAAATGGATATTTCAGATGTTTACACGTGAGGATTTACACATCAGAGGCTGAGAATTCAGGCTTTTCACGAGTAATGTCTATGGGAAAGTTCGAAGCGTCAGTTATCTACGCGTCAGATATGTATTTTTCAACATACAAGTCCGATTTCTACACGTTAAATGATCAGATGCTGAGAATTCAGTCTTTTCACGAGTAATGTCTATGGGAAAGGTCTAAGCGTCAGTTATCTACGCGTCAGATATGCTCTCTTCAACAAAGAAGTATTGTTCGCTTGTTTTTTTGGAAGTTATTGGTACAACGTATTACCAGTACAACGTATTACCAGTACAACGTATTACCAGTACAACGTATTACCAGTACAACGTATTACCGTATTACCACTCAAAATAATCCAAATGCTGACTCCTTTTTCGTAATCCTTGGCTGACATAAAGTATATAATTAGTTCGACTTCTCCATTGTGCCTAATGAAAAGGGTCAAGAAGAGAATTTTATTAATGCTGCAATTATTTGCGGCAACTGCGTAGTTTGAACATTAGCATGATTTAGCATTTGGCACTAGCTTTGGGTCAAGCATCTCGACCAGTTTTTATCGCCTGACTTTGCTTTCGTTTTGCAACCCGTTTAGCTTGAGCTCACATAATTGACTCGATTTACAATTGTAATTAGAGGCAACTATGCTCCTACTAGCTCGATCAGCAATCTCCCTCAAATAATTTAGCACATTTTATGATGTAAATGTTTTGTTTCCGTTTGTCATGAATATTATATAGCCAATATTTAAGGTTGCCTACGGAAACTAACTGAAACGCCAACTTTTGTCCCAATGGCCCACTGAATACATTTATTTCCTGGCTATAAGTGCAGGTAGCCTGCACTGCACTCACATCAGTCGGCGATCGCTGCGCGTCTTGGAATGTTCGTTGTGCTATTGATTTGTCTCTTCCTGCTGGCATTATTGTGCGCTTCGTGGCTTTACTATTCCAAGTATCGGTCCCTTATTGCATTGACTTCGGATTGGCCGAGTGGCCCGTCATGGCCACTGATAGGGCATGCCCACTATTTCCTAAATATTGCGCCGGAACGCATGTTTGAACATCTTCGCGAACTTTACGCCAAATATGGACGGGAGAATCGTCTGAAGTTCTGGTTCGGTACGGAGCTAAACCTTTTTACGGGCAATGTGCACGACATAGCCGAACTTTCAACTTCTCTGGCCTACAATCAAAAGAGCGAACACTATGGGGTCTTACTGAACTGGTTGGGCGAGGGTCTGTTGATCAGCAAAGGCGAGAAGTGGTTGCAGCGACGAAAGCTGCTAACGCCTGCCTTCCATTTCACAATCCTGAAGCAATTCGTCGAAGTGTTCGAGCAACAGGCATCGGTGCTGCTCGCACAGCTGTCGGCGTCGGTTAATGGAGAACCTCTGGAGCTATTCAAGCCTCTGAGCTTATACACGCTGGACGTCATATGTGAAACTTCGATGGGGGTCTCCATACAGGCCCAAACACTAGCCGAATCAGATTATGTGCGGGCAGTTCACATGTGAGGGCACATGAGGATGAGGATGTTTAATGTTTTCCTTCAACCCTTTTTTCTATTTTGCAGTATGAAGCATGTCACACATCAGCGTCTCAGTCATTTGTTCTACCATTTTGACTTCACCTATCGCTGGACCCCGTTGGCGTGGGAGGAGCGCAAAGCCCTGAAAACCCTGCATGGCTTCACAACACGCATCATTGAACAAAGACGCGCTGAGCAGCTAACTAAACCCACTACTCTAAGCGCTAATGGCACCGCTGAGTTGGGCATAAAGCGAAAGTCGAATTTTCTAGACATTTTACTTAACTCTGAAGTGAACGGAGAGCCACTTGGTAATCTGGATATACGCGAAGAGGTCGATACCTTCATATTTGAGGGCTACGAAACCACAGCAACGGCATTACAGTTCCTCTTCTATAACTTGGCCACACATGCAGAGTGCCAGCAGCGTTGCTATGAGGAGCTGATCGAGGTCTTTGGGCATGATCCGGTCCACTTTGAAGGTCTCAAAAATTTGCGCTATATAGAGCTGTGCATTAAAGAGTCCTTGCGTTTGTACCCACCAGTGCCTGCCTTTGCTCGTAAGGTTGTGAAGCAATGCCAATTGAGTAGGTTGATCAAAAATATCGACTTTCTATTCCTTATCTGTGTATTTCCCTTTCTATAGATGGCCTAACGGTGCCTGCAGGCACAAATATCACCGTCCTCCCCATGTATATAGGTCGCTTACCAGAGCATTTTGAGGAACCGGATCTTTTCAGACCCGAACGTTTCGCGGCACAATCCGCGGGCAATACGTCAAATCCCTTTGCCTTTGTACCCTTCTCAGCGGGGGCGCGTAACTGCGTGGGTCAAAAGTTTGCCATGTTGGAAATGAAAACGGTTCTCGTCCATGTATTGCGTCGCTTCGAGTTCAGCTATGCCGGCAATCAGGCGCCGGAACTCATGTTTGGAGTAACGCTCTGCACTCGTTTGCCTCTATTATTCCATATCAAGGAGCGCTCTGTTGCCTAACCATATCACCGTTTTTTTTTTTTCATTAACAGCGTTTTCATTTCATGCGGGTAAAATGTCATAATAATTTTAATTAAACTTATATTCATCCAATTCCATGTGTGGTGTATTGATGTGTGTGTGTGTGTGTTTGCACTTTTCATATAAAAGTTGCAGTGCTCTTCATTTACAATGCAAACAACTGGCAGGAATTTTATTTTTATTTTTATTGAATTGAAACAAGTGGACGAACGGATGAACGCTGGCAGAGAATTATTACCAGCAAGTATTATGCAGCATAAAATGTATGTGCATTTCATATATACACATACACACATACGTACGAACGCATTAATTACAATTATGCGTGTTTATTTGCCTGCTGTAACTTTTGTGTTAATTAGTGTAAATATACAGCACTGACTGCCATTTTTTGTGCTCTTTTCTGGTCCTGTTGCGCCAATATTGATATGCAATTGTTGAAAAGGCAGTTTTTCATTTGATGCTAAATTGATGCTCAAATGAATATATATGTGAGAATAATAAGTAAGACTATGAATAAAATACTCGGTAAAACCAAAAAAAGTGTGCAAATTAATAACGATTGTTTGTATACTTTTTTATTTCTTTGTTATATTTCTTTAGAATATTTGCAATACATTTCATTAACTATACTGCACACATAACATAGCCTCAATACTAAAAAAAAGCCCCCTCCATTGTAAATTTTGAGTGCAAATGATTTTCAATTTGTAGAAATTTAAGAAATAATTACTTTCTTCTTAGCGTGGAAACCAAGTTGAATGGAAAAGCTATCTATGAACTCAGAAGTGGGCATGCTTTATATCTATATTTCTAAGCTCAATGAGCCAACTTTTGACAATAGATCATTAAAATGATCAATTTTCTTAATTACACATCAAAAGTATTGACTGAAAAAAGATGCACAGCTCAAGAAAGCAATTGACTGTGAATTCCGACAAATGGAATAATCGTGATATTAATTGCTTTGCGCAAACGCAAAATATAGTAATTTATCTTTGCTTTATTAGAAAAATCATCAACTGATTAATTCGTTTTTTAAATTCATTTTTGTTATGGATATATGTTTAAATAAGTTGTCTTTAATCATTAACAAACAACTGCCACGAAAGTCTATAGAAATGTGTAATTTATTGCGTAAATGCTAAAAATACATATATCTGGTTTAAATCAAAAAACCAAAAATTAAAATTATGAAATAATTTGAAAAACTAACAAAGGATTCCCTGCTAGTTATACCTTTAAGTGGAAAGGGTATTAAACTTTGCACTGCCACTATGCAGCCTCAGAAAACTTCATGTAAAAATAATAGGAAATAAATAAATTTAAATACATTAATTTTAAATTTTGTTTTTGAATAAATTTAAACACTAGCTTGTAACAAATTAAAAATTGAATATTGAAAAAAGTGACGGCAAATGAACACTCTAAGAGTTCTTCTTCTATTCTAAATTTCAAAATTCGAACTGAACCGAATATTTGCTTTATGAGTTGAACGAACACAATCGTTTTTGATGCATTATATACTATATATAATGCAAATGCCTAGTTGGGAGCTCAGCTGGTCGGCGCAGTAAATTGAATATAAACTATTAATTACAGATTCTGTTTGTGCATTAACATTACAATTTGCTTGGAGTAAACAAGATGCACTAATTGCCGCAAACATCTTCAAAATACGCCAAATACTTTGAGGCTGGGATGGCAAATGTTTTGGCATAAATTCCATTATCTAATGGATGCCAATAAACAGCTTACAAACCAAACAAACACACACACAGGCAATCATATGTCCGAGTATATGGACATGCATACAATTAGGTACCCACACACAGTTGTGCAACTGACAGGCTCCAGAAACATTGTCTCAAATGCAAAATTAAAAGTGGGAGTTCGATTCTACGCCCACAACAAAACTGGAAACTAATTTGAATTTATGCAAAGATGCCTGTCCAACCATTATAGGCTGTTGTGGGTATTGGCGCATTGTAATTAAACTGCACATTATCAGGACAGGCAGCACACATTCACACACACACCCAAATACATATAGAAACCTGCACACCCACACGCTCGAGCCCATTGACAACTGTCACACGATGTATAATTATGCAAGCATATCGAACGCCCACCAAGCAACCAACCAACATACCTACCAACTGTCACTTTATGTTTCGCTTTTGCATAAAATTTAATTTAGCTTCATTTAATTATTGTTTATGCAATGGAACTGACAATGTGCGCTTGCACTATAATTACAATATTATAAACAATGATAATTTGCCAAATGCAAAGTCGCCGACAGAGATAACCAAGACATGGGCTAATAGAGTCCTGTCAGAGAGCAGAGAAAGCAAACCGCAGCGCAGGGCCGTTTAGAGGTGGTTGTGCGACCACCAACCACATTGTCGCACTAATCGCATGTTGTGTCAACATTAATCGCATCAAATTTAATTTTACAATTAAATGCAAAGACGCGCTGTGTGGCACGACGCGTTTAGCATAAATTAACAGCAAGCCGATGAGGCGCCCCAGGCGAATAATGCAGAGCTAACCCTGCAGTATACTGCTCTATGGCGTTCAAACTGTTCACTGGAGTTAGTCTGCATCTTTTATTATCTAACTTGATAATTTGAGAGAAAGAAATCCTCCTTTAATAAACAGCAAGTCACTATATTTCGGATCTAGCCGATAACATCGTAAAACCTTGAACCACAGTGATAGAAGTATATAACTGAATCTAATATAAATGTTTAGTTAGCATTTTCCTGTCATGGATTTCACAAAATACCGCAAACTCAAACCTAAAAGTATGCAATCAAAATTTGAAACTTGAAATCACGACTAACTAATTCCTCTGTTATAGAAAGGAAAAACAAAAGGTTACGTCAAAGCTCTGGTTTGTAATTTATCAACTTTTTCACCAAGTCGTTATTTGGCAAAATATTTTCCGTTAAGAGGGAAGTTAGCAAATAATAAATGACATAAGAGGATTTAATGACATACAAGTATAAATAGAAAAAAGTACAAATACAGTTTCATCCGGTATTGTATTGTGATTAGAGTATTTCTGAAGCGTGATTTCACTTAAAAAATGTCCACTCGAAGAAAAGAAAAACGCCCTCCTTAAAAACGATTAAAGCACATTAGAGAGCATTTGCTAATATAGTATACCCATGTTTTATAATAATATTTGAAAACTAGTTCCTCAATTGCGGGCCAAACAGTGCGTATGTGACAATTAACACTGCGAGGCACAAGCAATCATACACCCACATACTCGTACTTACAGAAAAGCTGGCAGTTATAGTGTATTGGGTAGCCTTAAAGGAGTTTGAGTTCCCAGCACGCTATTTACCTAGCGCTTCATATCCTATTTAGGGTTGGGATATTTTCCGTTTCTATTTTAAGTGATGCTTTAGTTAATGCACTTAAGTCCAAGGCATTAAATTGTCTTAATTACCTACGCTGATTAAATTAGTTGGCCCATTTTGTGGTGCAATTTCAGAATATGCTTGCTTATTATTCGCTGTACGAAAATATATTTAAAAGAATAATGTGTATGGTAATGGAAACTTACGTATCGTTTTAATAATTATTTTACAATAATAATTCTTAAAACAACTAATTATCGAGAGAGTCTTTGTTGAGTCGACTAATTGTCAATAATTTGTGACTATGTTAAGTTCTTTTTTTTAATTTTAAAAACATAAAGCAAACATTTTGCGAGATTAAATTATTCATTTATAATATTAAGGAATTTTTAATATTATATTTATCCTTTTTTATTCGAATTCACGTCAAATTGTTATCAATGTTGATCCTTTGCATGAAATACGATAATACTTCGGAGAAAAAAAAAAACAAAACTTGCTGGACAACAACTGGTTGGGCAGTTGCCTAAGACTGTTACTATGAGAAGCCAGGGAATGTCAAACTGTGTTCTCAAACTGTTCCTACTAAACTGTATAATTTGCAAATGTTCTGCTATGTCGAATTAAACTGTGATTAACACTGTAATCAATATTTTTTTTTAATTTCAGTTGATTAATCGATTGATCATAATCACTGTTATTTAATTTTATTTTATTTCAACTCTAACTACAATAGATGTTTATGTAGAAAATACCTCAAGCTCAAATCCCCCTATAGAATACAATATAAAAGCATTTTTAATTTTGATATGGATAACTATATGGGGAGTCAAAAAATCAGCCAGAAGTGTCGTATTTTCCTGCAACAATCATCGAATTCTTTCTGTATATTCGGAGCGAAATCGATGCACTAAATGTTTGAAAACACCAACATAAAACACAGCATTAAAAGTTTGGCCATATGAAGGAAATTCCCGATGAAATTCGAATCGTGGCAGCAAATCAACATTGTCTTCATCTTTGATTTCTCAAAACGACTTTTTTTTGACTCCAGTCGAATGTTGAATTTTAAACCATTTCTGTGAAATAAATCGGCTTCTATAATTTTATTTATTAATGCTAACTTAAAGTTAAAACTTACTGCTAACAGGGTGGGTTTGAATAGCTATGACTACCAGGATCTTAATCTGTTACAATCAATGAAAAATTATGTACAAATAATTAAAAAAAAAAGAACACAAAAACTGCATATGCAGTTTTGAGATTCATGAATTAAAGAAATTGATTAAAACAATATTTGTGGCTTCTATCATAAAATGACGAAATATACTATAGATAATAGTAGATGTACATATGTACATACAACTAACAATATGTGGATTAATTTTAAAATGTCTGATTTCAATTATTCACTATATATAGTGCTGAAATACATCGGAAACACTTAAGCCAAAAGTCTGCAAACCAGCCAAGACTAAATGAACGTAATGTACATTGGAGTGTTTGGCTTTGTACTTTAAGTAAAAAAACAAGATAATTTATATAAATTTTGCCACACGCTTCGCTGCGCAACAATGAACTTTTCTTCTGTACTCTCGAAACAATACCTACTTGGTTTGTCTGAATGCCTGGCAGCCGTTAACCTTCGTTGCACTTAAAGACGCGAAAAATGTGCACAAAGCTATTTAAAGGTGATTCTTTTTTCGCTCGTTTTGGGCAGGGCGCGTTTTAATTGAAGGACAACAACCACAATTTAAATATTTTTTTGTTGCCCACTGCCATGTTTTTGCAGCTGCCTTTATTTTTGTATTTTTTATTTACCTGGCCAGCTACCGTTAGTATAATTCTTGTTTATAAGGTTGTTGAGCTGTTGTTTGTGTTCTTGCCAAGAAATGTAACCTCGCGTCCATTCATTTGGTCAAGTCAACTGCAATTGCATTTGCTTCGCACTGCTCGATTTGACGGTAAATGCGATTTGCTTGTTCTTGGAGCTGTCGTTGTTGCTGTTATTGCTTACCTTTAATTTACCTTTTTCAGTGATTGCTGTAGTTGTTTTTGTTGTTGCAAAGACAAGTCACGTTCCGTTGCGTTTACATTTACGAGTATGTATCTGTGTGCTTATATCTGTGCGCGCATTCAAAAGCAACCACCGACTGGTTATTTAACTTTAACTTTGCTTCTTGTTCTTGTTGCCAATTTCGACACTTGGCAACTGTGCTGCCAGTAGGTGAGCTGAGCTTGCCTCAAAGTTGCGGCAGGGTCGGTGGCAACGTTTGAGAAGGCAAGTTTTTTCTTAATTGCAACAAGTTGTTTGTTGAATGACACAAAATTTGTTACGGTGAGTGGCGCGTACGTACTTAATAGAGCACTGTGGGCCCTAAACATACATCTATTTGTATATATATGTCAGATTATATATTTTTGACCGGCGATAGATAGTCTTGCAATTAGTAGATGAGGGTGGGGCTTACTTCACAAAGTACGTACAGGCACGTCTATATCTTTATGACTTGCCTTCAATAATGTCTAGTGATTGATGGCATTGTAACCTACGGATAAGCAACAAATTAGTTGCGTCACCATGTCTGTCTCATAAATAAATAGCTCCATAAAATGCTATTGCTATCTTAATGCCAAATAGTAAGCATTTCTGGTATAAAAGTTTCTTATTCGGTAGACGCGCAATAACAATTATGTAGAAGTATATAAAGTAATTGCATTGTGCATCTATTTATTGAAAATATTTTCAAAATGCACAATTTGTATTACTTTGCTTTGTGTATTGGTGGCATAAATTTATAAATTATTAATTGTTTTTATGTAACTGTACATAACTGTACATAAAACAAACCCTATACTCCTAAAAATTCCTCTATCCAGATGATTAATGCATTTAGATTGTATAATTTGATTGAATAGGGTGCATAACTTTGCCAACAGATTTATAATATTTAATTTTTTATTCCCGTGAGGTAAACTATTTTTGATATGTCAACAAGAAAAATTACTATTGCTTATCCAGCTTTTGAAAATGAGAAATTGTTCAAATACAAGCAACAGTAGTTGTTGTTTTGCTTCAAAAACGGTCTTTGCTCATAAATAAAAGTGCGGAGGTCAAATAATTTCAGCACAGTCGCAGAAATTGCTTCAACTTTCATTTAATGGTATCACAGCATTAACCTTGGAACTGAAGTTAAACCCCCAAACTTTGCACACTAAGTGCTTAAATTTTCAATGAGTCCATTTCCATGAGGTTTGATTTTAAAGCGAGAATGTCTGCTACAGTTTAGAGCAAGTGGTTCGACACTACGAAGAAATAGATGCTTGTTAAATAGCCTGCTTAGGCAACTATTTTAGCTTGATTACCATTTGCACCTGCATAACCTTTTTAATGTCATCTGGCTCTAATTTGTCCGAAAAACCTAAGTACACGCACAATACACGCTTCAAATAAAATCTTGTCATAAAGCACGCGCATGCGATATTCCCAGTCTTGCTTTTTCTGCGGCTCCAACAGCTGCATGAGCGGCTTCACAGTCCGCGCTAAAAGTGTGCTGCGCAGGTAAGTCGCGCAACAGGTAGGCAAGCGTGCGCTCTCTCCCTCTCTCGCTCTGGCTCTCTCTGACAGTTGTTAAGCCAGTCAGCTGTTTTGAGCTGGCCCCGGCTGCTTGGCATGCGCAGCCGGTGGCTCGGAGTCGCAGTTCAATCCAAAACCGCGTCTAAGTTGGACGCGTCTGTTGCTGGCTTTGCTGCTGCTGCTACTGCTGCTGTTGTTGTTGTTGGTGTTGCGTTCACAACTTGTATGTGTTTGTGCAGTGTATGTTGAATTTACAGTTAGACTAAAGCAGGCGGCCAACAAAGTTGTCTGTGCGCTTGAATGCCAAATATAATTGCCAGAGTTTGCATGTCTAGTTTAAAATAAAAAAATAAAAAAGTTGAAATAAAAAACAAAAACAACAACTTTTGCAGCGTATTCAAAAACACGACGCGCCGTTGTCATTTAACGCGACTTTCGTTTTCCCAACTTTCATTTTTTTGTGATTTTTCGCTGACTAACATAAATAAATTCAACATTTTTCCTTTTGACAACTTTTCATTGAAAAACCTGTCGTGTCAAAGTCATAAACAAAATCTGTGTGAAATTTTAAGAAAAAAGTGCTAATCGAAAACTAGCTGCCTACACGAAAATATCAAAGTCAAGTGAACTTCAATCTCAACAAACCGAACTTCGTGCACTGTTCAGAAAACAAAACAGCGAAAGCAACAAAAACAACACACAAATGCCCTTCATGGACACGGCCTGGCGTTGCCGCCTCATGATCTTCGGTGTCGTCTCATTGCTGCTCATTGGCGACCTCTTCGGCTATAGCGCCAGTGTTCGTGGCGTTAAATCGGATCATCATCCGGACGATGTGGCCGTTCGTGGCGGTCCACCAACAGCGCCAGCCGCCGGCAAGTTCCAGCAGAAAAATGCCGAAATCGATATCGGCGAAGGTGAGTGCCATTTGTATTTGTATTTGTTTTTGAATTTTTTTTTCCAATTTACATTCGCTTTGCATTTTGTTTTGGCCGCAATCACAAATTGTGTGTTTGCTTACACACTTGGCAATCAATGCCTGAGACCATTGACGATTGCAAAATTTACTGTTTTTGGCTCGGGGATCATAAATGTATAGCCGTTATTGTTGTTGTTGTTGTTATTATATAATGCTCGATGTGTTGCGTTTGGTCGCATCAAGGTTATTTTGCATTTCGAGTTTCTGCTTTTCAACATGTTCAATAAGGCACGTGTAAGGGCTTAATGTAATTGATTCGAAACCAGAAGGTGGAAGCCAGCCGTTGACAATACTACAATATAGTACTACTGACATAATACACTCCGCTGTATATTCTATATTTACATATATGATTAAATCGTATTTGGGTTTTAATATAGTGGCTTTTCAAGTGCATGGAGGCATTCTGAATAAATCATTTGAAATTAGTTAAAGGGGTATTCCATTTTAGATCTAAAAGTAATTATTTCAAAAATAAATATACTAAATACGTTATATTATTTAAAAAGTGTGCCATATAAAGCAAAAAATACAATAAAATTTTTTGCTTGTTACCTTACCTCATTCAAAATATTGGCACTCCCCTGTCTGTACTTGTTTTTCAACTCTTAATTTTATTCTTTAAGAGCAGGTGTTTCTGCTTACAAATCTGAATAAATTATTCAAGTGTATTTAAAGCGTTTAATTACTGCGTTAATTTGATGTAAAAGTGTGCCAGATAATTTTACATATTTTGTTTGACTTATTCAAAATTGTTTTCGAATAAAAAACAAGATGTGAATGAAATTTGTAATTCCAGTTAGTTCCGCTTACGTTTGTATACAGACATCCATATGTACTTGTAGTATGTATGTATGCCCCATTTATAGTTTCAGGGCTTACACATACACTCAACCAATTGTGTTATTTTCGATTGCAATGCAACGATATTGATGAAATGTGTCAAGGAAGAAACCAGATAGGAATATGTAGATGCTAGCATGACAAACAATTTTGAAATGTGTCAAGGAAGAAACCAGATAGGAATGTCTAGATGCCAGCATGACAAACAATTTAGATAGCATATTATACATAGAACGAGTTCCATTTGCATTTAGTATCAACATTTAATGAACTGTCATTTTCGACAACCAGCTAATAAACATAGTTCATTACTCTGTTTACGCATGTATAAACTGAGATCTGTTTTAAGGTGTGTTGCATTAAATTGGACTTTAATCTTAGAAAATGCAAATGTCAAATACAAAATTTGGTAAAAACTCAAGACACGCCTCATTGTGAAAACTGGAATATGTTCCAACTCAAAAGCTTTAAAAAAAATTATAAAAAAATAAATTAAATTCTGTGCCTTTGTAAAAGCCGTATTAGTTGTATTTCTACTCGTATTATTATTTCAAGTGCTTGCCTACAATAAAATATTTAAAATCGAATTAACTGCATCCATGAAATTATATAAAAATAAACAAACATCTTTTCTTCTCTTCTTCAATTTTTTAAATTGTATAATTGTTTGTTCGAGCTTTCTAAATCCCACTAAAAATACGTAAATATTTAATTTAAAACAAAGAATATTTTTAATTTAAAAAAAAAACAAACATACTCTCGATTTTAATTGAAATTTTTTAAAATAAATTATACAAAAAATAGCTTTAGATGGCAAAAATAAAATAAAGTGCAAAATATGTTTTAATTACAAATTCCCAGAACTAACTATCCCGATGGGAAGATATTTCTTCGCGAGAAATGGCGATGAAAGGAGACTGTTAAAATGTCAGTCTTTAAAGAACTACTTATAGGTTCGATGGTCCCGTCGTCCCTCGCACCACCGACACATGTTAATTGGCGAACTTGTTTGTGTTGCCTTTTTAAGCAAGCTGCTAAGTCTTTGTTTATTACGCATGAAATTAAAAAACCCACATACCCTTTATTTGAAAACACAGACTGGAAGCAGCAGCTGCTTTTGTAAGACCCTCCTCGATAAACAATCGAGTGGTAGCCCATGTCAGTAAACCTGCCATTTGTTTTTATGCGCCACAGTTGACGAGTATATATTATATAGCCGCCACAATCCAGGCTCGGATTGATTTACATATTGCACGAGCAAGTAAGTGCTGCTATGAATGGATGGAAAGTGACATAAGAGCAACGACCAAGCGAATGCGCGACTAGTTCATACATTCGGTATGCATAGTTATTGATTATACAATGAATGTCATGAGTAGGGCAAGCCACAAAAGCAGCAGCAACAACAACAACAACAGCAACAGTCCACGTCGTCGTCGTCGTTGACAACAATCAAAAACAAATTAAATCAAATGAAATGAAAGTCAAATTGCAGTGCTGTTGGAAATGCGCGTTTCGAGCTGAAAACTCGCAGATTATATTTTGGGCCAACATCGATCATGCAATAAAGTCTTCTCTTGTCAATAAGAGGCTACACAGTATTTTTTTGTTGCTTTTTTTTTGTTTTATTGTAAAAGGTGAAAGCAAGCAACGCTATGCAAATAAAGTTCACGTAATAAAAGCAGCATTGGCAGCCAAGTTTTCACTGCACTTTACATGGCGGAAATTGTGCAAGGGAGATGGAAATGGTATTGCAACTTTCCCAGTTGCAGTTCATTAGCGTGTGAGACGCACCCCTCACCCACACACACGCCCAACTCAAACAAAATTTGAAAAACTCTGCGCTATTTGACAAAGCCAAGCCAAGATTTTGATTGCTTTTGTGGCTCCTCGTTAATATGCCAATTACGTACAATTCGTTGTCTAGACAATGCTAAAGCTCATGCCACAAGTGAGGCTCATTTGGCAGAAACAAAAACAAAAATGTACAGGAAGTTTAAATAGAACTAAGTAACTACAACAGCAATAACAAAACAGCTGAAACGATACTCAGCTACTTAGTATGGCTTCATAAAAAACTCTAAGACTGTGCCGTTTAAATTTATTGCCAAGATTTGACCATAGACTTTGGATATACTATACACATGGAAGTTGGCCATAACCGGTTATATGCGTAATCATGACTGAGTCGGATTTTAATCATGAGCTTTGAGAACAGAAATCAACCGAAATCGAGAGTGAAGTTTCTTTTTGAATTTCAAAACTATTAAAGAAGTTATTCGCTAGCATTGCTAATAAATATCCTACACTCGCAGAAATGAGAGCGAAGCGTGCCTGTTAAAATAGCTGGATTTTCCATATAAAAAAAAAATAAAATAGAATGAATAAAATAAAATAAAAGAAACAGAGAAGAAATAATAGCGTCAATTACATACAACACAATTGAAATGTTACCCCTTTAGTTTAGCTTCATTTTCATGACAAGCGCATTCAGATAATGACAAATGATTTAGTTTTTCCAACTGTAGCAAATAAATATTATATAGTATATTTATTGCTTCCACAGAGTTAACGCAAAGCTTTTACGCGTATTTATTTTGAATTATTCATTTATGTCAATTAATAATCTCGTGAGACTCTAGCTCTATTGCCCTAGGTCAATTTTTTTTCTGTAGAGCAGCAACGATTCACTTTACAACTAAAGGTGCTCAGAAATATAAACATTTTCAAAGTAGATTTTAATGAAGTAACAGAATGCAGTTCTATGCATAATTTTTTTTACATTATAATATCAATATCAATACATTTTTTTCACAGAAAATGCATAAACAGTTAATAGCCAATAGATATTATTTATAAGTTTTAACAATTATTAAATTTGTTATACCAAAGGGGTAAACGGGGATGCATACACATATATGTAAATATTTTGGTCAGTTTATCAATACAAGTCGATGTAGCCAAGTCCGTCTGTATGAACGAACTTAAATCAGAAAGCTTAAGAGCTATGAAAACCAAACTTCATGCTTATATTAAGCCTAAGCCCTAAACTGCTCTTGTATGTTTTTTTTTTTTTTCAGTTTTTTTTAGACCCCCAGTACCCTGCTATAAGTGGTTTTTCATAACCCCATAATTCGTGACAATTACATACGGCTAGTGTCTTCATTATTCTCTATTTCTTTATTGTTTCTTTGTCCTCAATATACATTCATAGGCACTACAATTTTAATTTGACTTCACACTAATTAGCGGGAGCATTTGGCCATCATTGTTCTTCATCTTTAATTTAGTGGGAACATTTAACCATTTGGTAAGGAAATTTCTCAGCTGACGAAAAGAAAACCCGTGTTATACAGTGTTTGAAAAATGTTCTGTTGCGTTACTTAATGACTTCATGAATAAATATCAAGCGTATTCAACCTGAGGAACATATATTGACTTCGTGGAATTCGGCCCTGTTTGCAATTTTTTTTTTAACATTAATTTCACGAACGGCTAAATCCAACCTTAACGTTTGCTAAATAATGCAAAAATCGTGATAAAAATGCAGAGCTTCAATTTTGTGAATGCAAATGCGTTTTGTTGTCGTTCAGCGAAATTTGTTAAAAATACTATATACCTCGCACACAATTAACACAACAAATAATAATAATTAATGAATTGAAAGGCTAGCCCAGCAATTATTAAAAATGCAACCTAAAATAGAAATATAATTGATTGAGGAAAATATTTCTTATAATATAAGATACTGTTTGTTAATATGATGAAGAATATCTATTTAAACAACAATTAACGCTAATATTATATCGAAGTTTCTCCAGTTGTTTTATTTACCGGTTAACTAATAATGTACCAACCAGTTTGAAGTAGATGGAAAAATATTGCCAACAAATAATTGAAATTAACTAACATATTTTTTTTTATTTGAAAATGTATTTATTTTTGTTTGTTTTTCTTATTGTTGTTATTTATTGTTAAGCTTGAATTCATGTACTTTTCTCTAAGGTAGTGGTGGCAATTAATCAATGTCGAAAAAAAAAATATTTTTTTTTAAATGAAAAGAATAATAATTAGAACTATCTGTCGATCTCTTTTATTACCAAAATATTAAAACTACATACACTATGTTAAAATCTACCGATTGCCTTCTTCTTTTTGTTACAATTTTAAATATTGGAATGAGTGTTAATATGTACAATTAATTTGCTAAAGGTTGCTTGAAATGTATGTTGTTGAATCTAATAATTAAAAAAATAGACAATGCCTTCTCCTAGTAGTTATATATCATACATATAGGTAACTAAACCGCCTCTTAGTTGAACCCTGCTATTTACAATTGGCAGTACACCTGGAATCTTCAATGTAAAATGTCTTGGCCTTAATGTTTCTTGAATGGTCCTTTTCCACGACGCTTTTGCCACGTTCTGGTTTCGGGAGGTGGTGTTGCTCCTTCGCCACCCTCTGGAGGGGCACCAGCTGCTGGTTCACCTCCTTCTGGAGCTGCACTAGCATCTCCACCAGGTGTGGTTGCAGCGTCGCCAACACCATCGTCATCACCACCTTCATCACGAGCTTCAGCTCCACCACCGCCGCCCCCGCAGTTAATATAGTTCACACACATCCAACAGCATTGGGGAAATTCATGTATAGTTGATACGCCAGTTGTCGGACAGTCTTGAAATGAAGCTGGCCTCTGACAACTAAGCGACGTTATTTCTATGTGGTTGTGTTCAATAATTGGATTCAAATTGTAACTTACTAATGAATCAGAGCATCTCCGTTCGTATTCTGGCAAACGATAACTCCGCAAGTGTTGGGGTCCTCCATGGCCTCACCCACGGCTAATTCTTTACCGCCAGTCTTGGGAATACAACCTTTTTCTTAAAGTCGAAGAAATGTATAAGTGTTGTAGACATATATAAGAAAGAAGAAGAAAAATGTAAAGTTACTCACTTCCTTTTCCCAACTGAACGAAATGCACTAATCCGTCGATTCGACAAATTAGATCGATTAGAATTAAAGCAACTATGTGAACAGATTTCATGATGCCTCAACCACCACTCACAGTCAACAGAATGTTTCTGATTGCAATCGAACTGCCCGATCGCCCTTTATAGGACCGAGTGCAGGCAATTTTTTGCTTACATGCCACATGCCACATTCAGTTGAATTCACTTTCCCTGCTAAAACTGGCACACCTACCTTGAAGAAATAAAAAGATCTACGAATTTGTTATGTGATATGATTATTTATAAGTAAGTGTGAGGGCTTGTAAATGTTTATAAATACCACATTACCAGTTCATAGAAAAGTACAATTTTTCTAAGAAAAGTTTCGCCTGCTAAATATGAAATCAATTAACTGCAAGACCAAAAAACTTTAGCCCTATGGAGGGAAAATAAAGATTAAATAAAATATTCGCTTAAATATTATAGAAATATTTTTGATTGCACCTCATAGTTATCATGAGAGATGCTAAATAATATTGCAGAATATTGAAGTGCAAATCCAAGATGACAAAAGATTGTTAAAAGTTGAAGAATGCCTTATAGATATACATTTTCTACATATATACGCGTATATTTACTTTAGTATCTCATTCCTTCCAATCGTATACATAGCTTATAAAGCTTTCATTTCACTGCATATTATCTATATCACTTTATTTTTTATTTGAACAGATCTGGTTTTTGTAATATTTATAAACTGCTCGATTATAAATGGGATTTTTGTTTTTAAATGGACTTAATATGTTAATTTATACTATAGGCCTCTAATGCCGTTATTTTGTTTACCGAATTAAAATACCGATTTCTATACGCTGTGAACGAAAATGAAAGTACAACCGGTTCGATTTCGCAAACTATTTAGTGCCGTGAATATTTGAATATTTTGCGTATAGTTTTTGCATTCGGGGCAGATTTTATCCGCATTCTCATTTAAAACTTAGCACCAATTCCAACTGCTTATGTCATTCCCATAATATTGAATAATCTGTATTTTGATTTGATGCTGGAGTTGTATTTTGCAACTTCTAGTAACTTCTTTTTTATATGAAGTCGAGCCATTTCGATTTTTCAGACCCTCATCGATGCTCTAAACCAAGTTTAAATAAATATGACTATCGTTACGGTTAAATACAGAATCTGCTTAGCTGAAAAAGGTATTGGATGATTTTTTGTTTCTCGGGGAAACCCAAAATTTTCCAAATTATAATTGATTTTTATAATATTTGAAACACTTTTATAAGTGTATCTAAAGTGTAGAAAATGAACCAAGGTTGGGCTTTCAAGTGGAATTCATATATTATTATTTTATTTTTATTTTTTTTTTGGCCAGCTCTTAATGTCAACAAATTAAATGAAATGCTTACTGCCAATCTAGACCAAAAGATATATTGTTTTTAACTTTTTATTTAAGAGTTTTTAAACGTGACGGACTCGCACAATAAAGCGGCGCCGCTTTTATTTATAAATTACACATAAATAAGACGATATTATTTCGAATGCCAAAACGTGTTGCCCGTTTTAATGCAGCGATTGTGAACGTTCGATTGGGGCGTGGAATTACACATACCCTCCCAGAACTTCCAAATCTTTCCGCGTACAAAGTTCAAATGCTTAGCTTCCTGCTACGTCACTGAAATTCTTGTTCATTTCTAGACAGACACTGGCCGGGTAGTAGCAGTAGATGCGGCTAACCGGGGGCAAGCGGGGCTAATTCATGCACAAATAGTTAATATCTGAGCAGCATATTTAAAACCATAATTAATTGAACTAAACATCGGTAAATGACTGGACATATACTTGTAGTATGTGTGTGGCTGACCACAAAAATCAAAGTTCAATGCACGTTATGCTGTATACGTCTGGCCTTGTCGGCGAGTCATCACAGTTGTTAGGCCGATATGAGTTGGAGCTAGCTGTTTGCCATTTAGCCATGTTTGTTGTTGTACAGCAGGTGTTTTGGTTCTATGTTTTGCATTTTCTCTCCACCACCACAATACCTAATCAAATAGGTATTTATCAAATTTTTTTTAAGCTTTTTGTATTCACAATAATGTTGTTGGAACTGGAATTTCGTTGCAGTTTTATTGCCATTTCAATTTAATTTATTCCAATTACTTGTATTATATGTATTTGAGTAGCAAAAAGTTATTACTTGACAGTGCCTGCTGTCCGCTTTTCTCTCATTTTGTTCTTATATTGCACAACCTGGGGATCATTATCACATTTAATTGCAATCAAGATACAATTAGTGAGTGTATTAAAGTCAAACGAAATGCAAAGCCAAAGCCAAGTAGTATTATTTTATGGAAATTTATTGCATAATATGCATATGTAATTTGTTGCTCTTAGAACACGACTTCAACGATTTCTCCGAAGCAGCCGCTTTAAAATCAAGCGCCGGAGATTTAGGCGCGGCCTCAGTCGCTCAACTGAAGACAAAAGCACAGCTGACAGACACCATCAAGGAATCTTGTTTGCCCAAAATGTTGTGCGAATTGGCCTCAAAGCCGGAGTATATGCTTAGCGAAAAGGAGAAGGAGTTGCTGCGCTTAATCCGGTGAGTAACATATTTGTATTTGTATTTGCTCTTAAAAAATAAAAGCAAGTTCGTCTAGTGTATGATTTAAAATTTCTGCGAAATGTGTCGATATTTTTTCAAGCCAGATTAGGAGTTTCTTATAGTCTCTTAAAAAATAAAGGCAAGTTCGTTTAGTTTGTGATTTAAAATTTCTGAGGAATGTCTTGACTTCAATACTTTTCCATCCAGCAAGATTGGCAGGTTCTTATAGTCTCTTAAAAAATAAAGGCAGGTTCGTTTAGTTTGTGATTTAACATTTCTGAGGAATGTGCCGACTCCAATACTTTTTCCAGCAAGAGTAGGAGTTAGCTGCCATTTTATTAAAGAAGATTTGACAATAAAGCTAGTGCCTATCTCAATAAAGTTCTCGCATAAATGCCATAGAAAATATGACTGCTTTAAGCAAACTTGTGCAAAGCAATTTAATCTTGTTTGCCGTTAGTGTTGCTTTCAAACCAAATAGCTCGACTTTCCAGTCTGTTCTCAAGAGTTTGCGTTATTTATATGGCATTTTAAATCAGTTTTTATTAACCGAAAACGCCAGCTGGGACAATCAATATTGTTGTTCTTTTTCATCCATATTAGCTTCAACCGAACTTTCCCTTATATGGGGTTAAATTTCCTGCAATTTATGTTCGCATAAAAGCTCACCAAAAATGTTAAATGTTGAGAGCTGGAGAAGCTAGAAATTAGACTTTCATTTGGTATTAATGGTATACTAATTTTTTTTTAGCAATTGTCGTCATGTAGGCAACATTGCCCCGAAAGCATAATAAAAAGTTGGCTAATCCATGCAAATGATATGTTAAATGTATAGTAGTATACCACGTTAACTAACGAATCAGAGGGAAATTAACAATTTGTACGACAGCATGTAGCAACTAAATAATATCATTACAATTGTAAATTATTTCATGCTCTCGGTGCTCTACTTTGACGGTCATTGGCATCGATTGCTTGAGCATAATCAAAGAGTGTTCGAATATTCGAAGGTGCAAAAAGCAAAGTATACACAAGACAATGAATGTATAGTCGTATTGTAGTACGAGTATGGGGTAAATATTTGTCAAAGTGTTTCTCTTTTTTCGTGTTTCGCGGCTCCATTGACTTCAGCTGCCGGTTGGCTTTTTACATAAGTGTGTTTTAGCTTGAGCTCTTAATCTTTGACTATTTGACTTGAATGCCCAGTCATCATCTCATCATAACCTACCTCACAATAAAAAACTGGAGGGGATGCAGAGTCAGTCATTTAGTCGGCTGCCCTGCCGGTCGTTAGTTTGCTCGAACTTGTCTTAACCTCGCACTTGAAACGAAGGTGAGTCGAGCTTACAGCCATGTAAAATATTTACGTCAACTGCCTAGGCATACATACATATGCATACTATATTTAATTTGTAGGTATGTGAGTAAGCTGAGCAGCTATATTATTATACATGCGGCGAGACAGATACTCTGCTAGCAAGGTGATTGTTAGAACTTGTGAATACATACATAATTATCTTTTTATGAAGTCGTTGAAGCTGTTGTTGTTGTACTCGAATACAGTTTTTTAAAAACAGCTGGTTCTTGTGCTATCATTTATATTTGCATTTCCGCATTTACCAATTAACCAATTCACTAACTTTACTTCCGCCTCGCTGCAGATCCCCCACCATGCCCTGGATGATGAATATGCCGCCAAGCAAATGGTACTTCGCCGCCCATATGGGCGAACTAATGCGCTTCACCGGAGACGGTCTGAGTGGTCCGATGGGCTGCGCTAATCTCTGGCCCAATTGTCCAATCAGCTCCAAGAAGCTGATGAAGCTCAGTTACAAGGTGCGCGTCTAGTTTGGGGGGACACTGGCGCATGTAAAATTGTGATTAAAACTCCTTGAATATACTATTCATACTATTTATCCTAAGTATTAGCCGTAAACAATCAAAACCACAACTACTTACTAACAAACGATGCGAAGTAAAGTTCCAGCCGGTTCGCACTCTTTGTCGAATTGGAATTACTTTTGTAACATATGTTTTCACTACCACAAAAATCGATCCTACACATATCATGCTCGAATATTTTATAGCTCCTAAGCTCCAGACACTGCAAAAAAAAAAAAAAAAAAAAAAAAAAAAAAAAAAAAGAAAAAATGCCTCAGGTATTTTTTGCTTTTTAGGCATGACTGATGTGTGACATGTTGCAATAATTTGGTAGTTACTTAGTCATTTAAGCTTGGCTAGTCGTTATCTCAACTTAGTTTAAGTTTCTTTAAATTTAAGTACGCTTTGTAATTATAAATAAACTTATATTTTTTGTTACGTCACTTGGGGTGCATGCTTGTTTTATTTCAGTTTCTTTATTTTTTCCTTCACGACTCCACACAATTTCCTTGGGACTCCCATTTGCTTGATCATTTGTTTAATGCGCTTATGTTGCGCTAATTGAACTTTGATTGCTGTTTCGACAGATAGCTATATGTGCTAATGAAAGGGCTATATTAATGCCACATGGCATATTATGAAGCTCAAATGTGACATTATGTTTGTTTTTTACTCATACCTGGCTTCTCTATCAAATGATAACCCCATTTACGTTGAACGAAGTAATGACAAGCAATCTAATGTTATCCGAAGGTTGAAAGAATATACTCGCACTAAGAGGTTTCTTTGAAATAAGAAGCTTCAGCTAATGTGGAAAGTCCCATGTCTGGCATCCACTTTTGAAGCGACCGATCGATGTGCTTGTGTCTGTCTGTTCGCCAGTACAGTCCACAACCACTTCAAACCTGCCTAAAAGTCTTGTCCAACACACTTCAGTATTGTATATATGCTTAAAAATACAAGTATATATATATATTTCTTTTTATATAAAGTATAGTATGTATATAAAGTTTATGAAGCCATAGCAACTATCCGTTTAACTATTTTTTTTGTGTATGTACTTTTTGACTGTCTTTTGATATAGTCATCAAATTTTGTGTTTATAAATATTTATAGTGATTTACTATTTGAAGATTCATTTAAAACGGCTTACTATATAAGAATTCGCTTCACAAATCACGACTTTTAAACAGTAATAGTTTGTAATATTTTTTCTCAATGTCGAAATGTACATTAAATTACTTATAATAATAGATTTATTAGTCAGGAATTAAATCAATTATTTGGTATTAAACCAGGTGAGTCTGGGAATTAACATATGTATGTATAAAGCCGCTATAGAAACCGGCTGTCTGTTAATGAGGGCTTTGAAAATAGTCGCCCTATACGAGCCGATGAGTCAATGTATTCGTTAATCCATATTGGTAGTAACTAGCAAAGTAATTATAAATGGAACCTTTGATCAAATTGAATATGAGGGTCAAATGGGTTCCCTAGAATTATTCAAATAGCTTTTTAAGTGATGTGGCAGTATATACTATATATTGCCTTTTTCTTACTCGCTTTCGGAAAATATTTTTTACTTGAGAAACTAGTGAGGTTTGCACTGCTTACGTAGCGTGCGAACCCCGCTTCGCTAATATATCTAAAAGCAATGTTGGTCATATTTTCATTTTAAAAAACATTAATGATAGTCAGCTGGTATTGAAAAAAATTTTGTTATTTAAGTGCAGTGAAATGTCAGTGTTTTTGATTCTTCGCTTTTACACTAGATTGAGTTTTCAAATGTTTTATTTTTATATTTGTTTATACTCCTAACTCTTTACTTTACATATGAGTTAAGCATTTTTCTGACTTTGGAGAATAATTGAGTGTTGAAAGTATTTCCAAAATAATTGCTTATTTTAATCTAAATAAAAACGTATTTATATATCACAATCGGTCACATTATTTAATAATACTCTTTTCAAAAAATGTGTATTGATTTGTCATATATTCTATTAAAATCGGGCATTGATGGAAGTGGGGAAAAACTGTTGTTGCGTCTATATTCCACCTAGTGTTTACTACTTGTGGAGTCAAATGGTGCGACTCATATTTTGTCAGAGTCATGTACTATCTATATATAATGCAATCTATAATCTATACAAGATTGCAATGCAATTGGTTTTGTGCGGAACAGTTTTCCGTGCATACTTTTGGGCGCTTTTGAAAAATGCGATTTCGAAACTGCGCCACAGATGCGCCGGCATTATATAGTAAGTGGATGGATGAGTCACTCATTATACTCGCAGGTATGCCGAGTAAACCGATATTTGAGACAAACTTTTTATGGCGAAAACACTTAATAATTCGCACGCGTAACACCAACAAAAACAACATTCAATTAATGGCTTAATGGCAGAAATATTCAATTGAATGCTGATAAATAATATAAAGCGTTAGAAGTATGCAAATTCTTGCTTCTTTGTTTGAATTTATTTTTTTGGCATTTGTTGTTGGCACGGGGTTAGGTTTCGTTTGATTTTGTTGTGATGGGAAAAATTTGTTGTGGTTTAGCAATTTCAAACTAGAAATCAAATTATTTCGGCCACGTTAAGTTTCGAAATTTGCGCATCGGGCTATTTTCGTTTTGCCAATTTGGTGCTGCTTTGCCAACTGAATTGAATTGCAACAGTAAATATAATTCACAGCAAATTAAATTCAAGCTGTTTTTGTTCAGCTTGGCTTACAAATAACAAAACTAAAAAAAACGAACAATTTGTAATACATATATTGAATTGAAATTGGGTCAGATTTTTGTTACGCTTGTTGCGTGCCTGCCTGATTCGCCGGCTAAATCACTTTCATTGTTGTTTGTCTGCTCCGTGTCTGTTCGTTGCCCCAATTTGGAAGTAGATTTTAGTTGACGTTTGACAAGTGGCTGTTGCTGCTTTAATTTGTTGCTCGTTATACAATGGAAAGTGCAGTGTAATGCAACCAACATAGTTTCCCTATTTTATGCATACTACTTTATGCAAACAATGGGCCTAATCAAATGATGGCTAAACACGCCAACTTTTTGTCTGAACTCATTTACAAAAAAAAAAAATAAACAAAATCATTATGTTTTACAAATTTAGCTTCCCTACTGCTGGCTGTCAGCCAACACTATTTCATGTGATAATTTCCGCATGTTTGGCCTAAAATGAAAGGCGCCACGACTCCCCCAACCGTATGTCCGTGGCTGTGGGCGCGCAACCAAAACGGTAGACAGCTGGGAAAAACGAGAAAATAATTTGGCATTAAATATGCGTTTTCTTCTGCATGACGAACATTGAATATACTCGTTTGATTTCCTATTTAAAATGTATTATATATTATAGAATCAATTATGGATAAACTTATATGAAATGCATAATATTATTGATGAAAACTAATTTCAAGAAAATACTTGTAGTTCTGAATTATGTTTTTAAAAAACTAGAATCAATCGTTGGGATTTAAAAAATTGGTGTTTGAATTCACGCAATGTTATCGCTATGTTATGTAAGCTATATATAAGCTATGTTTTGAAATTTTTTGTTATTTTTAAAAACTTATGTAATAGTTAAGCAGTTTGAGGAATCTTGCAGACATTTCGAAACTAGTAATTATACACGTAATCCGCTCCATCCACTTTTGAGTTAGTAAACGACACCAAACTTGATGTACAAGTTCTCAAAGATACACTACGAATTAAGGTCGATAACTTTGCTTCCTGTATAGGCCTCCTTAAAAGTGGATTGGGTTAAGATGTTAAGAATCAATCGAAGAGCTGTACTATTGTATTGCAATTGATTCTGTGAGTAGGTAGTGATGTAAGCCTCAAAATCGACTTTATCTTTCGTTGCGCTGAATTGCATGCCTCTATGTATTTGATAATATGACATCCATTTTACAAAATGGGTTTTTATTAGGATGAAAAACTATATTAATTATATTATAAAATTTAAAAATTTACTTAACAATTATTTTGATACTCGTTTCTTACATTTATAATTGTTAAGAAAATTCAATTTATTTTTAACCAGACCTCATGCTATTTATAGACCTGAAGAGTAGGTGATCTGGCGAGGGATTCTCTTTTAATAAGTAAAATAAAAAATATGCCTAAAATAGTTATTTCTTTGTGCAATATTTATAAATCATCTTATAATTGAATCAATAACTTTAGTAATATGTATTTTTTTTTTGTAATAATTGGGTTACCAAAGATAAGGATGGACATTTGATTCGCATTTTAAATATTTTGATATCACATAAAAAGTTAGGTCTTCATAAAAGTCTAACGATTCTAAAACACGCTTTACATGTTAATTGTGATTAAGACTTCATTTTTGTGAAATGATCGGTAGAAGTGGATGCTCGTTTCAACCGTCCCATTATAGTTGTTATACTCCCGGCAAAATACGAATTGTGACCAAGTTGCAGATAGAGAGCCTGCAATGATTACACAATCCTGGTGGCTTCCACTCTGGTTTTAGGTATACACGTATGGTGCGAAAAGAAACACATTAGAGTCGGACTAGTGTCTAAAATAAATGCAGGCGGCCTGTGGACTCATTGCGTCCGCAGAGAGCGGCTGCACAAACGACTACCGCTATACACTTGCTCGGAGATATTTAGCTCTTAAAGGGGGAAAAGCAAGAGCAGGTGGCAAACGGCTTTTGATAGTTGGACGGCAGTCCGGTGTTGACGCTTGCTTCAACAAGTGCCGAGGCTGTACTGTTACATAACCAAGCGGGCGGGCAAGCAGTAAGCGGCAAAATAAACAACTAGCCGACTGACTGACTGACTGGTTGACTGCCAAGCGGCCATACATAATGGCTTACGTGCAGTTGGCCAAGTTTGCAAAAAACCAACTGCATGAACTCGCCATCTGTGGCTATTCTACTTGGCCTAAACAGAATGCAGCAACTCGATTTCCTTGTTCTTGAAAGCGCAATGAGGTGTCTTTCGTTCTGTTTTTTTTTTATTTGTTAGATAAATGAGCTGTTATTGAAAGTCATGTTTGTCATGACTGTTTGTTTGACTGCCATTGAAAGACACACAATAGAATCAAGTTCAATAAACCATTTTTATGGCTTTTTGTCGAGTGGAATTACGAGGTGGACTACTTTAAATAGGCACAACGAAAATAAACTTACGATTATTGTTGATTATTGCTATGTTTTTCGATATTTTTAGCAAGAGCTAGAAGACTAAATAAAT